TTTTTTTTTTCATTTATTACCCTTAAAAAACAACAACAACAACAAAAACAACCAGGGGCTGGGGAGATGGCTCAGTGGAATAAGCGCTTCCCTGGCAAGCTCAAGGGCCAGAGTTCAATCCCTGGTTCCGCAAAACAAACAAACAAACAAACAAACAAACAAACCTTTACTTGAGAGACGTTATGGCAATAAATGGTATGTCATGATAAGAAGTACATGTTTAGAAGACCAGGATGGCAGGAACTCCAAGCCTGACCCCTCTATTACACATCACCATTGTCAGTGCAGCCGCCTGGCTCACAAGCACCAGCATATACAGTTAGTCAGGGTGAGAATCCCACCAGCCAACCGCTAGTCTCAAAAACCTGCTGATGTCCCCCAGGATCACTGCCCCACCCATCTCGTGCATACAAATGCATGGCTTTGCCCCTGTCACGTTTCCAAGCTTTTCTCCTTGCCCACTCCTCATTGTCCAATCCTCAAGTTCTCATTTTCCTTTTATTTGTGTTGTACCTTTCTATATGTAATTCCACTTTTGAGTTCTTATACTAGGGAGACAATACGATATTTACACATGTGGGTCTGATTTATCTCACTTATATCTTCAAGTGGCATCCACTTAAATATGAAGACTTCGAGTTTATCATTCTTTATAGCTGAATAATACTCCACTGTCTAAAAATATCACATCTTTTTCAACCATTCCACATGTGATGGACATCTTGGTTGTTTCCAAGATCTGGCTACCACAAATTGTGCTGCTAGAAACATAGGTGCGCATATATCACTATGATGTGACGCTTTCAGCTCCTCTGGGAAAATTCCCAGTAGGGGGATAGCAGGCTTGAATGGGACTTCCAGTCCTACTTTTTTAAGGAGTCTCCACACTGATTACCATAATGGTTGCACCAGTCTACACTCGCACCAACAGTGGAGATGGGTTCCTTTTTCCCCACAGCCTCTCCAGCATTTGTTGCTGATTTATGATAGCCATTCTTTCTGGGATGAGATGGTATCTCAGTGTTGTTTTAATTTGCATTTCACAGATGGCTAGTGATGAGTTTTTTTTTTAAAATATTTATTTATTTTTATTTATTACATTTATTTATTGTGTGTGTGTGTGTGTGGCCAGCTCAGCCCACCAGGGGGCGGGGCTGGCTGGCATG